CCCCAAAACCCCAAAACCCCAAAACCCCATAACTTAAAGATAGACTTTATAATGGAAAATTAAAGAAAATAATAGATTTATTCTTTATATATTCAGATACTAAATAACTCATCTTCTTTATCCATTATTAAATCTCTGAACTAACTTTTATCTAGACCATGACTACTTAAATCTATTGGCGGGGCAATTGCATCATCAAACATCTACTAGAACTGCTAAACTTTATTAACTACATTGCTTTTCGTTCTTGACCCAGGCTTTTTGAAATCTTCATACTTGTATTTCCATATACCTTTGTGAAGAATTTCTCTTAGCATGAATCTATTTCTCCTTCCTTCTTAATAGTCAATGTGATTTTAGATCTTCTGTTTTATAGCTTTATGCTTCTATTCATTCCAATCTTAAAGTTCAATGTGAGCATTATCTGCTTTATCTATCCAATACTAAGGACTAGACATTAAGAAATTTAGAGATTAAGGGCTCTTTTTATCACTATAGTATATTGAAGTATTAAAATTTCTTCTTGGGACTCGACTATCCATATAATCTTAAATACTTTACTACCCCATTTATTAGACACTTGATTCAGGGAACAAATCAATATATTACTGTTAGATTGATATATATGGCTGTTTGAATGACCTATTAAGAGATATTTATAGATTGTGCTTTGGTGAGGATAGCTTTTAAAGCTTAAACTAATATTGCTATCTTTGGTATTAGAATGTTTCTTAGTTACTCAAAACTCTTTATCTTTGACTATTCTATCTTAGTTATTCAGTTTGATCAATCCTATTTATTTCATAGCTAGTATTCTAATTAAAAGGCTATCCATTCATTTGCATTTGAGGGTTTTACACTTATTCAACAACCTTAGCCACAGTTTTCTCATAGACTGGCACAAACTTTAAAGTGACATCAGTCAGATCCTCGAGTAATTCTACATCACTTTTATTCGTTGAATTACCCATCCTTTTTTTCTTGTTTGAACTTCGAGCATCTCTTTTGTGATTTTTAAAGAGCACTCTATTAAGAGTAAGCTTTGGAGTAAAGCCTCTTTAGTCCATTCTGGGTAATAACTGAGATTGATCTGATTTCTAGTTTGGAAGCTAAATGGTGGTCTGATTAAGTGGATTATAGGAGTTATTCTATTGGGTTGTATTCTAGTTTCTATGCTAAACAGTTGAAATGAATTTATTTTAGAAAATGTTAAGATCGGTTGAGTAGTCGCCTAGATTTTTCGTTTGAATTTTATAGATGGGCTTCTTCTCTGGCATATTTCTATAGTAATCCATTTTAACAACCTTCATGTTTGGATTTTATCCTTCCATTTATGGTTGCTTTATACTAAGAATTTTATGAGTTGAAAAAGACAAAGGGTCATATTGAAACTCAGTTAAGGCTCTTTTATGGCCAACTCCATTAACTTTAGGTGATTATGTTGGAAGTCTCTAGTTTGATTTGTCAGTCACCTGCTGCTGTTACTCATTTACCTACCTGTATTTTTTTATATTTTAAATCAGCTAGAGATTTTTCTAAAGTAATAATAAATAGATTAATTCTGAATACCTGAAGCTATAAAATCAGTTATGCTTTAGCATTTTGATCAGTTAAGCCAATTTATAATGGAATTTATCCGTTATTTATATGAAATGAAGGCTCTTGAATTATTATAGATTATTGACTCAAATTATCCATGAAAAAATATTAATAATTCAGCGATAATTATTTCTATATTTGATTTTCTAAGGTCACTTTTAATATACTATCTCTTGGGGTTTTGGGGTTTTGGGG